GGCGGGTAACTTGGAAACCTATCCCCAGGCCTGCTGGGAGAGCCAGATCTTGAGGGCTGCGCGGAAGGTCTGAGTTCGGAGAACTGATGCCAATTGTCCCTGCTGATTCGGCCGAACCGGGCTGAAGTAGTAGGATTTCACCCCTGCCCTCGCCCCCTCTCTGACTCCAAAGCAGAGCCCTCATCAGAGTCTTCCCCAGACTTCAGGACTGGCCCATGTTCCTCCCCAACCTCCTCACTGGCCGACTTTGCTACCAGCTCCACTGGCCGCTGGCCAGCTACAACAGGTTCTTCTCTGGTTCTTCTCTCCTACTTTTGGTGATACCATTTCCTTCACCATTACCCAGTCTAGGAAGGCATTAAAAATGTTACATGGGGTCTACCACACCATGGTCTTCCTGCTGTCCTCTAATGGGCAAACAGCTGCTGTGAAAGTGGGTTTCTACCACCCTCCACACTACCTTCATCAATGACATGAAGCACATTAATTAGTTGTTGCAAAGTGTGAGCATCGGTTTCTTCACCTTGGATCTAGACTAGAGACCTGTTGTTTTCAACAACCCACCCCCCTAGCCAGGCAAAGCAGACAAGCTATGAAATATTCAACGCCGGAGAAAAAAGCGTGTTCCAATTAAGGCATTTGCTGTGAAACTAAAATAGAAGAGGCTAAAGAGATTAGGCGAAGCACTAAAAAAAAAAAATTCCCTAGTCTCTAATTAGACTGCAAGGCACAAAAAAAGGTAAGCTCAGGCCTAACAAGCTCAGAGGAAAGTCCTTTGTATTATTAATACCTCCTTCTGATGAGATGGTTAAATGTTTATTTCTGGACCGAGCCTGCCTCATCTCAAAGGGATGAATTGCCTTCACAAGGAACTTCCTCTTAGGTGGCAGTGTGCCTTGTAAGGAAGATCATTTGCAAGATTGATCTGTGATTGTAGGAATTAATGGGAATCAATCCTGGTCCTTCAGTTAAAGGGAAGCTTAGACATTCCTTCACTTCTGAACAGCAGGATGCTTTTGAGGGGGTCAATCCTACAATTTGTGTGTGATGCTTCTATGATCTTGGTAGGGGAGGACTACGAACATCATAGAAAGCTGACAAGGGAGGACTCAACCTTGGCAATTAAAGACAGGAAGACTTTAAATTGCAGAATTCCCCAAGAGCAGGAAAGGAGCCGAGGTGGCGCAGTGGTTAGGGTGCAGTACTGCAGGCCACTTCAGCTGACTGCTATCTGCAGTTCAGCGGTTCTAATCTCACCGGCTCAAGGTTGACTCAGCCTTCCATCCTTCCAAGGTGGATAAAATGAGGACCCAGACTGTGGGGGCGATAGGCTGNACCTCGGAAAGATGGAAGGCTGAGCCAACCCTGAGCCGGCGAGACTTGAACAGCTGAACTGCAGAACTGCAATCAGCTGAAGTAGCCTGCAGTGCAGCATTTAACCACTGCGCCACCTCAGATTTGATTAATATTGTTCTGTCAAATGGTGTGAGCTGCTGGTGACCATGTAATCACATCGGCAGCGTTGCAAATAATGCACTCCTAGAAAAGAAACTCTTAAGTTACTCAAAGAATAGTTTATCGGATACATCATACTGGCCAACAACTGGCGGAAGCCGACTCTTGAGATTTCCCACAGCTTTCACCTAATTAAAAAGTAAAAGTGATCCCCTTCTCCCCAAGGCACTGGTCACGCTGTCCCATCCAGGTGCTGGCCAGTTGCTGGGTTATTTGCTCCTCCTCTGGCCAGCTACCTGTGAGCGTGTCCTTGGTTCCCACAGGAAAAATGGGTGGTTTTGGCTACAAAACCCCATCTAACTATTTTCCCCCTCCCACCGCTGTGCGGCGACCAAAATCGCTTCCGCCAGGTTCACTTCAGGGTTGACGCACATATTCTCTGTGCCTTGTGATACCTGTTGGTCTTATATTTGCTCTGAATTCAAAAGGCGGTGTTTTTTTTTACAAACTCAGTCCATACCGAAGTCGTTATCCCTCATTATGTTATTTTTCACTTTGTTTTTATAGCTTCGTTGTGTTTTGTTTCATCGCCTTGGCTGGAGCGCATAAAAGAGTGATTAATCAACTGAGGGAACAATTAGCTATGGTAAGTGTTAATCTAACGGCATTTCTTAATGCTGTTAGGTAAAGGGGAAGGTTCCCCTCGCGCATATGTGCTAGTCATTCCCGACTCTAAGGGAGCGATGCTCAGCTCCATTTCAAAGCCGAAGAGCCAGCGCTGTCCAAAAACGTTTCTGTGGTCATGGGGCCAGTATGACCCAACGCCGAAGGCGCTCAGAATGCCTGTTGTAATTTTAAACAGTCACTAAATGAACTCAGAGGTGGGTTCCTACTAGTTCGCACCAGTTCGGTAGAACCGCTTAGTCAAATCTACCGAACCGGTTAGAAGAGGTTCCACCAGTGGACCTGGAAAGCAGGCCACACCTACAGAAGAGGTTCCAAAATTTTTTGAAACCCACCACTGACACACACACACACACACACACACACACACACACAGACAGACAGACAGAAAGAGAAAGGAAGAAATAAATAAATAAAAAAAAGAAAAAAGAAAGAAAAAGAGAGAGAGATGAAAGAAAAAAAAGGAAAAAGGGACAGAGAAAAGGAAGGAAAGAGAGAGAAAAAGAAAAAGGAAGAAAGAAAGAAAAAAAGAAAAAAGAAAAAAAGAAAAAAGAAAGAAAAAGTGTGAGAGAGAGATGAAAGAAAAAAAGGAAAAAGGGACAGACAAAAGGAAGGAAAGAGAGAGAAAAAGAAAAAGGAAGAAAGAAAGAAAAAAAGAAAAGAAGAAAAAGTGAGAGAGATGAAAGAAAAAAA